AATTATGGCTTTAATTATTTATTTTTACTTTTAATCATAACTATCTTGTTTCTTCTCAGAGAAATTTGCATAAAGTTGAAAGAATCTGTTGCTGTATTATGTAGTAGATCTATGTCAACATGTATTAATCCTTTTGTACACTTTTGTGTGTGCATTGTTATGTTTCTGTAGCTCCTAATATTTATCTTAGAAGTTACTCTGAAGAGTAAGCAAATAAAATAACAATGTGCATTTACAAAACACAGGTTCTACTTCTTCTTTTAAACATTTCCTGGAAGTCTTAAGATTTTTCCATTCAGACATCCCCAGATAGATTGTCCAGAACATGCTATAATGACTGTCCTTGTTGTTCATGGTTTTCTAACAGAACTTAAATCCAACTTTATTCAGTCAGTGCTTGAATTAACTAGTTTCCAGAAGCTAGAATACCAAGACAAAACTATAGTAGGTTATTTGAGAGCATCTTGTTTGGGGACATTTGGTACAATCTGATGAACTCTGAAGGTACAAAACTTGAAGTTCAGAAATCTTATTAAAATGTAACTTGCTTTAAATTTGATTAGCAGTATCAAGAGCTGAGAGGATGGGCTAGAGAAGTGATAATAATAATAATGTATTTCTTTAGTAAGCTCACAAAACACTGTATCTCTTCCAGAAGAGTTTTTGGTACATCTACCCTGATACACTTTTTCATGTAAATAAAGAATAACATACTACATTCTGTGGAAGCTTGCACTCCTTTTCAGTTGTAAGCACTTACTTTAAATCATATTTCAATGCAAAGCATGTATGCTACTAATTTGGAGAAAGTCATATACTTATGAATACAGACAGCAAAGCAGTGGTTGAAAAAAATCCGTGTTGTAAATTCTTTTGTCAATACTTGACTCCTGGTCATTTTGTTGGAAGGAAGAACAAACTACCAATAGTTGTCCAGCCTTTATGAGCCACTCAAGGTTCCTCAGTTGTCTCTCTTTCAGACTGATGAATTTACACAGTTGTCTTCCATGGAAGCCCTTTCACACCTCTGAATATCCCAGTCCTTTTCTAAAAGTTTATTTCAAGACTTACTGTAGCCTTTCTCAGACAGGGGAACTGAGTGATGGGGAAACCCCAATTACAAGGAGCATTCATATAGGTGAGCTGTCAGTTAATACAGAATTGTTCTGTATACCTATCCTAGTATTTCCTAGCATGTAACTTTGTTTTTCTGACGTCTGTTGCACTCTGAACCAATGCTTTAACGAAGTTACCTCTCTTAATATCTCGTTTATGAACAGTAATGGCCAATTCAGAGCCTGTCATTCTGTACTCAACATCAAGATACTTGTCTGTGTGCCTAGGTTTGCATTTGTCTGTCTGAATTTTACCTGTCATGCATCCGTAAGTGAATCACGGAATACACCCACAGACTACATTCTTTTTTCCACAGAAATAAATGTGCTAGACTCCTGCATTTTGCAGCTTAGAAGACTAGAAATATGTACAATGAACAAAAATGCCAAGTTGCTGTATTACAGTATAGATAGTATTATTTAAGAGTTGAATGTGTCTGTGTAATCAAAATGTGCAAACTGTTCTCTTATGGCAGGTGAGGGCAGAATTGTAATGTTCAACAAAACAACAGTGTTTTTACCATATAAAAATGTACTTTAATTTTATTTAGATTCACTTGTTTCCAGTATATTAATATTTCTGTCACAGAAATATGCTATTAGAAAAAAAACAGAAATAGCTGATACATACGGGATATTTGCATTTTGGTATATGGACTTTATTATATAGAGAGTATGAAGCATTTTGTATCATACTGAATATTGTTGAATTGTTCTTTATTTAGCAAATGTTTTGAATTCCAGGAAATGACTTTGTAAAAATGGAAGTAAGAAAAGGAAATTAGCCTATGTTAGAAACTCTTTGGGAGGGAAAATAAAAAAAAATAAAGTCAGTGCAAACAAAGGGGAATGGCAAAGGCTGAATCAGAGAAAGGTGGCGATTTTCACAGAGAATGAGGAATGTATGGAGTGTGGGTGAAACGTGCCAGACAATTTTTCATGCCTAGAAATGTCCATTTAATCTTCCCAGAAGCTCAATAGTCTGTTCCAGCTGTACCAGTTAATTAAAAATCCTACACAGACCAAAACTGTGTATTTGTTCTAACTTTGTCTTGCTGCTGTGGCAACCTGTGAGAGAGAAATACAGCATACATACTTCAAGTCTGACTGGACTTTAATGTTACAAAATGCTGCAGCAAGCTGCTTTAAAGCCCCCAGCTTTGTTTTTAACCCCATTTGCACTGGGTCCTCCAACTGTTCCTCTAGACTGCCATTAAACTGCTTCCAAAGGGGCTGCTAGTATTATGGAGTCTCCCTTTTAGCAGGAAAAGGCAGTGATGGTCACCAACAAAAGTAATATGCCAGAAAGAAAATTAAGCTCGTCGTCAATGTGGATGCTTTCAGGTTAATGAAATCAATGTTGGAGGGAGGGAGATAAGATACAATACGTTTTTGAGTATCTGGAGTGCCTGAGAGTACACCAATCCAGACAGCTCCCAGCAATGTATCTTTCCCATCACCAAATCATGTATGGCAACAGGGCATACTTTTACTTTGTAAATGCTCTGATCTTCCTGCTTGTGCTTAAAACCAGGACCTCCTACAAATGGTGTAGACACAGGGACACCACCTCAGGGTCCTGATGTTGCAAGGGAGTATCTGGAACAGGTTGTCTCACCTCCTGGCGATGCAGGTCCTTGGAAAGAAAGGGAGTGACCACCCTGTTCACGATGGCTAAGCAGATAAAACCATCAGCAGTCTCAGTGGACACGTATCCAAGCCTTAGTGCTCGTCTCCAGGACCAGGGATTGCCTGGGGCAGTGGCACTGGTGCAGTGGTTGCACCTAGGCTGTCCTGCAGAGCACAGCTTTAAGTCTGAAAGTCTCTTCTGCCCTGTAGTAAAATGGGATAAACTTTGGTGTTCTCACGCATTGTGACACAGCATAAATAGGGTATGCTTATGTATTACGGAAAATAATAAAAATAACCAATTTGCAGTATACGAGCAGCGCTCTCATCGTGCCTTTCTAAGTGGTCTAAGTAGGTCAGGGCATGCGCTGGGTATTTACCTCACATACCTTGTGCCTCCATCATGTGCAGTAATAACATGTTTTCCCCATGCTGTAAATACGTGTGTGTTTGCAGCATCCGGGCTGTAGCTGCGGGAGGGCCATGCGGGGCGAGCTCCCCTCGCAGGCCTGCAGGGGCCCAAGGCTCCGGGCTTGCCCGCCCCTGAGCCGGGGCTCCCCGTGTAAAGCAGCCGGCAACGTTTCGCCTCTGGCCGGGAGCGCCGCAGCTTCCCGTGCGGCCCGGAGCCCCCGCCCCTTGTTTCGCGTTCTCTCGGCCCTCCCCGCGGCTTTCCCCGCGCTGCGCGGCTGCTCCGCGGCCGCTCC